TTATTTTTTTTAAATTGTAATTATCCTTTAAACTTGAAAAAACATGATACTTAAAATGTTTTGTAAAGAGGAAAGCACGATTTTAACTTCACGTATAATTTCAACGTCTTATGAAATGGATCATCAAAGCCTTTTGAAATAAATTTAACATGAACAAAAATGACTTTTTCCCCAGCTGTCTTTGGAAGAATGAAAACAAAGAATTCCAGGAGACTGGAAACGCACAGTGTTGCAAGAACTGCAAAACCAAACCACATCATCAAGTAGAAACCTCAAGCTTGCAGGAAAGTGACTTTCACAGAGTATTTTGCTGAATGTAATTTCCTTTTATTACTTTTTGTGAGGAAGAGCATGATTAGTGACAGAGGGGGAGAGAATGCGGCTGAAAATCAAAACCCTGAAAACAACATGATAACTACTTTCTAGTTCTGAGAAAAATTTTCTTGAATTTGCTCTGAAAAATACGTTAAATATAGAAATTGCTCAAATATAGCTTTTCAAGGGTTGTAAAAAAAAGGCAAGTAAATATAAAAAAAGAAAAATAGGAAACTGAATATATAAAAGTAGAGATTTCAGGCAGTCTGCCTGTGACATTAACAGATCATTGAATCTTTGTGGTGTATGACAGCCACTTCTTGAAAATAAATTCAAATGTAAATTTTCATATAAGGAAGCACTGAAGTGTGTGCCATCATTTGTGTTAAATATTAAAAATCAACTTTTTAAAGAATAAGTGATGTAGTTTTAGTAAGGCATCAGTTGGGTCTTTGGTATTCGGATACTCTTTTCACTTCAAAAATATTTTATACTGAAAACAATGATTATAGATGATTGACACATTTATACAGCTAAGAATAAATTTATATGAATAAATATTATCCTTAAAAGTATCTCTCTTGCCATCATTTTACTTTATTTTTATTAAGATGAATAAATTGATAAAATTAAGTGACTCCAACAATCATACCTGAAGTGTACATTACTTATGACATATTTTTTACTTCCTTAAGGTATACTCCTAAAATAAGTAATTATCTTTTGGAAATAATTGAAGCAGTATAACATTTCTTCTGTAGGTATGCATAACTCGAGAATCTTTCTTTAGTGAATATAGATATTAATGAAATATTCAGATTCCTAAAAGAGAAGACTGGCTACAGTCACTTTTTTTGTTTTTTTGGGAAACAAACTCAATGACATTGGTTAAAGACTAACTCCCATTCAATCATCTTCAGTCTAAAGTCAGCTCCTCTTAACATCTTACATGATTTCCATACATATATCCTCATTTCCATCCAGAATAATCTACCTTTGGACATTTGTTTAAACAGCTTCCTCTCCATCTACTTCCTCTGCACTTGTATCACCCTCCTTCGCCTAGAGTCAAATGTTGCACATTATTGACACACTTTTAATGTCATTCTGAACCTTTCCTCGCATTGTATTCCAGCATAGAGGCAAGAACAGTGGCCTCCTTTGCTTTATATTATATTGTCTATAGCTTTTTATTTATTTATTTATTTTTTTTTATTTTTTTATTTTATTTTTTTTTTTTCTGCGGCTGCTGGCCGCTCACGCTGGCTGCTGGCTACACACGATAGCCCATGGCAACCCGCTGCCACAGGGGCTGCAGCCTACGCCGTCGCCGGCGCTCATATGTGGGATCCGAACCGGGGCCCTCTGGCGTCCCAAGCCAGTTCTTAACCATCGCGCCACTCGGCCGGCCCTATAGCTTTTTATATTTAGGTCTTAACTCTCAAGTGAGACGCTGGTTTCAGCGATGATAAGACCTGTTACCAAGACTATGTTTTTCTTTTTTTTAATCCTTCTCAATATCAGGAATAGTATTTTACATACTATTTTATTTTATTTTACATATTTTACATCTTTTACATATTTTACATCTTTAGAGGAACCTTACTCAATTAATATATGCTAGAGTATATGAATTTTTGTTTGAAACTAAGGTATTTGAAATGGTGCTTTGAAAATGGCACATGATTTTGAGTAAGAATCCAGTGCATTCTGACATAAGAAAAATGATCTTGATGAAATTATTAGGGTGACACTAACTATTATGGTCCATTTTCTTATTTCCAAAGCTAATATTGCTGGGGCAATAAGACTAAACCATGCAATGAACACATTTTAATACATATATTAAATATATGATATATGTATGTCATATATGCATTTCATATATATATATATATATATATATATATATATATATATATATATATATATCTTCCTCACAGGATATAATTCAAGAGTCCTTGAATGCCTATTTTCTCTATTTGCTTTTACATAAGACTTTACAAATACATCATTACTAAAATAGGTTTGGTGTCTCTGTAGAATGAAGGGCAAAAATCCTTCATTTCCATAGACTCAGCAAGGTGGTTAAATAAAATAATTTCTCACTAGCTAAAGAGCATTTTTTTTTTTGCATCAGTGCTTCAAAGAAGATGTGTTCTATGTTTCTCTCATCTCTTCTACATATAAGTCAAAGCACATATTTCACTGGGATAAATCTTTTGATATGTTAAAAAGTATTGCTATTCACATTTTTATTTTAAAATGATGTTTTCAGAATACTTGAGAAAGTGACTGGGTTCTGTGCTGGTTGTACTAGTCAAATGGTTGTGAACTACTTTTGATTATAGGGTTTGTAAGACTTCTAATCCTATATTGCAAAAACATTGACCTCCTGCCGATGAGGTATAAAAGTGGAAGTGCTTTTGTTTCCTTCAAATAATATTTCACTTGCCTTTCATCCTAAGGGGAGAGAATTTGAATTTGAGTCATATCTTCCAAGAACTGTCCTGAGATTAGTTCTATTCTTGAAATTGCAAGCCAAGTAAGTTAATTGAATCTTATCATAACTTGAGGCTACGTACAATCTGAGTTTGAAACATGGGGCTCTTCCCTCTTTCCACAATAATAAGCTTTAAAGTCCAATTTGTTGAATAGCTGAGCAAGCGTCATACATACTAATAAGCAGATGAAGACTTACCCACAAACAGGTATAGGATCTATGCACGTTCCGGGGTATCAGTTACCACGCTCACGTAACTGGAGATTTTTGATGGCTGCTAAAATGAATGAGTCTATCTGAATTTTTTTGTTTTCCCTACACACATATAGAGCTAAACCAGAAAGGAGACAAGTCACACTGATGGGTGCAGGTCATTATGAACAAACAAAACAATGACTAATTTATGTTTCTTCTTTCTGTGTTGCTGAGAATGGTGGACTCATACACCTCCCTCCTGCTACCCCGATTTCTGACTACGTTGCAGTACACCAAGTATCTAAGTCAAAGCATGTGTTAGTATTTAAAAGCTATACTGTGTCCATTAAATCATTTCTAAAATGATTTATTACTATTTGATCATTTTGTCTGCTGTGTGTAATCACTTTGTGAATCAGCTCCAATTGCTGACAGCATGGAAAGTTAGGCTGAAGCTGTAGACAAAATAAAGGCAAAAATCTGTTCATTAAATTCTAGCTGAATCTTCCATATGTTGGATACTAAAGTTTGTATATGGATATTATTATCCAAGCCACTATTATAAATATTCTTTTACTCAACAATATTCTTTGAGAAGATGTGCATGTGTGTGTGTGTTGTGTGTGTTTGGTTACATAAATGCAATTTCTCTCAGAATATTTTCCTTCTTGTACAATGTTTATAGAAAAAAAATCACAACTTAATGTCATTTAGAGCCTTATTTTAGGGATAATTTTCTCTTCAATCTCTTCTTCAAATCTGTGTTTGTACAGGTTTGTCATAGAGAGAATTTCTGATGATATGTCTTTAGTAATTTCTCTAAGATCTATTAATTTCTCAGTGTTCGCACAAATAACATTTGGAATTTATAAATTCTCATAAGAACACCTTGTATAAAAATATTGTCATAGTAATTTATATTTCCTCTAATTTAGCAGCCACCATTTTGTACTGGCTTTGTCTGTAAAATAAACAAATAAATAAATAAATATTTTATTAGAAAGAAGCAAATTGACTTCAAAGTTATATTTTATTTAGATCTGTGAATATAACTACGACTTACAAAATGTGCTGAGACACATACGATTCCATAGCTGATTATTTGTGGCCAGTGAATGCTCAGAGTTGATGTGCCAACTCTCTGCCCATTAAACTTCTTGAGAATTTTCTTCTAACCCTGGTAAACTGGAGTTTTTAAAGCAGGGTATTGTGTGTAAAAAGACTTTAGTCCTTTTGTGAAGCATGTATATATCATTATTGGTTTTTGGTTTTTCTTTTACTCAAAGTAGCAGAATAAAAAATAGGAGGCCCAATCCATACTTATAATAATAATATAATTGCCTAGTTTCAGAGTTCATATAAAAAATAATGCTTGGAATGCTTTCATTAACAAAATTCTAAAATAAATCATCACAGAAACATAATATTTCAATACTGCAGAAGCTCCATTTTCCCTCATATTAGGTTTAATATCAGGGGCTTAGAAGCAATCCATTATCATCATAATGTGTAATTAAAATTAGCTGGATCCGGGTGCTTTTTCTACAAAAGCAGGGACATATTTTCATACTCGAAACCATGCAGAGGACCTTGGCTTTTACGTAAATGTACAGACATATTTTCATCTTTCAAACCGTCATCTGTAAAGTTGCGAGGTAAATATTAAAGACAAACAAAACAATGTGAGACAAAACAAAAGCTGTGGATAGTTTATCAAAAATCTAAACCCAAAAGCCTGATGGGACTCCCCAAACCTGGCTTTCCTGGTCCTCTTTGCATAGAAAAATCAAACTGAAGGACCTGTGGAGGTTTTCCAAGTTAACCATTCGTTCATGGTAAATGGAGCCCACCATTGGCATAATCAGACTACGTGCCTCCAGGGGTTACTCCCCAAAGCCCCTGAGTGCCCCTTTTGATTTAGCTTTATACCAGAATGTACACTATTATGATATAAAAAAGTGACAAAGTAGCATCTGGAAAGTTAAAATGTTGTAAAAAATTAAATTACATTTTATTCCTCAGGCTTAAAACACAAATGGAGAATTATTCAAATTAAACTTACTTCCCATACCTCAAAATGGAAGTATTTGGGGCAGTTGCAAACACAGGCAAAAATTCAAAAATTTGCACATAAGTAGAATCAGACAGAAAAAGTCATATAATTTTTGAGGACACTAGCTTATGATAAATTTAAAGAGCAAAGGCAAAACTCCCCCTTAAATAATTCTTAACTGTGGATTTTAATTAATACATGAATGTAGTTATTTTTCGAGAACAGGACCATGAATGCTATGAATTCTTATTTCAAGACCAATAGCAACAACAGCAAAAGATTATTGAAACAATTTGGGGGAATAACTCTACGAAGTTCTAAGAAAATTTGCTTATTTAGGAAAATATTAAAATAACTAAACTTGCGTATAGGACGTGTAGTTAGCTAGCAGTTGCTTCACTGTTGAAAGTTTTATGAAATCATCCCATGATATTTTATTCAGAATGTATGTAAATATATATTTATAAGCTAATGGAATTAGAAAAGTAGATGGTATCTGCAAGCCTTTACAGTTAGCAAAGCATTTTTACAGATGTTTACTGATCCTCACACAAGCCGGTGAGGTAGGCAGGGGAGTCTGCCATTTCTATTTTATAGTTTGGAACCCTGAAGCTCAGGGACTTTGGGGATGTGTCCAACAATAGTAAGTGTGAATCTCCTATTTTGTTGCTTCTAGTCCTACACATTTTTCTGTATATTCCAAGCAAATAAGAGCTGATCAGTCCATTTGATGGGGAAAGTCTGAACCTGTGTATGGAATAAAAAAGTAAGTCAATCATAAGTCTAGGAAGTTTGTGTAGATTTGGAGGATACTCTTTTCATACTACATTCTTATCTTGTGAGGTTCATATTTTCGATGACTGTCATGTCATAAATAAGGAAATTGAAGTATAAGCCAATCAGAAAATTTTTGACAAGTAATTTTAGTTATAGGAATGATCAAACCTGATGATTTAAACATACTTAAAGCCACTGGGGAAAAAGAAAAAAAAGAATTCCCCAATATCTTGTACAGGATGAAGTTTGCAGCTATTTTTTAGGTTAAATCTTTCCCTGACAGATCAGATTACTGGAGTATACCTTTAAATCATTGATTGAAGTCATTAAAATAAAGGGGGTTTTCCGGGGAGCAGGCGGGACAGAGACAGTGGTCCCTGTGCTTTGGAGCAGTGCATGGTTACTGCACAGAAGTTGCATACATTGTAGTGCAAGCAGCAAACCCCCAAGCTCCATCAGTTTTGTATGGAGAAAAATAGTGGGGAGGGCAAAGGAAAGTGGTACCTACGAGTCTGTGACAGAGTGGCCTAGTCTATTGGCTATACCTCATGTCACTTAAACACAAGGCAAAGCTAATGAGAGCTGTCACAATAAGAGTGTGGGTCTCAAGAGTCTACCCAGAAACATGGAAAAAGAGGTCATGATTACCTTCGCAAGTTTCCATCTGCAGCGTACCACCCCTAGAAATCAGAGTCATATGTGATTTTGAATCTTTCTATTTAGTTTTGCTTGTGAAAAAAAAATCACAAACTATTGAAACAAATATCATTGTTTGGCTTAATTCAGGTATTCTTAATTAAACAGTACCACAGACTTTATTGAGCAATTGAAAATATACACAAGGAACAATAGCTTTTTCTTTGCAGGTGGGTGGGTTTGTTTTTTGTTTTTTTTTGTTTTTATTTGACTTTCTTCCAATTAAATAACCCAGTTTCGATCATGAAAAGGGCACTTGTTTCTACAGTGGCTGTGTACACCTTGCTCAGTTCCAAGTACTGTTTCCAGCTTCTTCCTTGTCATTCATGGCTGAGGTTATATCTCCACTTGCTCAGGAAGCAAATTCTACAGTGTTTCCAGAATCCACTCCCTAAGTTGTTCTTTCAGATTCTATTTCTCCATAGAGTTCAGCTAACTTTTTAAACTCCGGCCCCCAGTCTCCCAGGTAGTGATAATCCTGGTCAGATTGTGTTGTGGCTGAGTCCAGCGAGCTGATGGACCCAGCTTCTGATCTCTGACCCTCATAGGCGTACGTCTGGAGAGAGTCATACGGAGGGACGCTGGGGTCTAGGTCTGCTTCGGCCAGTCTTTGTTTAATAAATTCCTGAACATCTATACTTTCCAGGGTGGACAACGTCTGGTGTCTGGGGGTGAGTTTCACTTCAGGTCTGATATCTCTCCGGTACTTGAGTTCCTCAGCAGCAGATGGATTCCTCAGAGCTGTGATGTCAAACGCCTCCGTGTCTTCCTCCCCGCCGCCTTCGTCGTCGTAGGTGACCACATTCTCCCGCACATCCTCCTCTGAAATGATCAGCGGCTCTTTTTTGCTGCGTCTCAAGGTGATGAAAAGTACTACAATCGCTGGGGGGGAAATTGAAAGAGGATGAAGAGTTAGAAAGAAAAGGACATTTTTCGAGATTTGACATCAGCAATTTTCAAGCCCTGTCATCAACAACACTCTACTTAGGCTTGCATTGTTACACAACCTTGATCTCTGCACGCCCTGAATAACACCACCTCAAGGTTTTTTCATGTCTCAAAGAAGGTAAACAAAAATGATTAAACCTACAAAACATTTGGAATTACTGATCTTTTCTAGAACCCCCAAATATTCTCATTTGCCAGGCTTATGTATTCAGGGTACTTGATTCATGTTGTGGTATAACTATTCAGTGCATATATATATATGCTGTGGGAAACTGATGATGGAAAAGTAATATGAAATTTTGACCAGAAAAAGAATGGTGCATGTGGATCTATCTACAGATACTTAATCTTTCTAGGGAGATACACTAAAAGCAGGAAGTTTTAAGTTTGTGTGTAATAGAAAGGAGTGTCTATCACACATATACACTTACAGTTATATATTTTCACGTGAAATTCATGTTTCTATACTGTATATTGTCTATCTGTTTAAGTCTGTATACTGTATTTTGTCCTGGAAACCCTGATTATATGTGAGAGCCTTAACAAATGGTTGTAAAGCAAACAAACATGGGGTTAGCTCTCCTGTTATTAAGATCACGTCTGGTATGCTACAAACTGTCCTTTTATCCCTTACTTCTAAAACGTAACTTCTATTCTTACTTCTATTGTTTTTCTTGCTTCCCTTTATAGTTTAACCCCTTTTTAGGTATACCCTTAAGCAATATAGATAAACTTTGTCTATATTTGAAGTAGATATCATAGTAGGCATGTGCTTAAGACTGGAACATACATATGAAGAGGGAGAGGAATAGATTTCCAAGCAAGAAGTGGAAAGGATAATTATGAGAGAAGTCTACTACTAGACATGGAAAGAGATAGTGACAGTGCACTAGGAGAAATCTAATTTTGCAAAGAAAAGGCAAGCAGGAGCCCATGAGGATGATGGGGGGGGAAAAAGAGACAAAAAATGTTTAGACAGACTCAAAGGCTGATCTGGGAAAGCATGAAATAAAAGGATACTGACAAGTAATGGGAAAACGGAATGGGAGAGGTGGTGGCAGGTGCGAGGAAGCACTGGAAAGCTGTGTTTTTGGAATGGAGTCGTTACAGCGAGCTGAAAATGAAATGTCGATGCCACATGAGGTCCTGCTTCACAAAGCATGATGCCACAGAGTCAGTTTCCCATACTGTTGCATGTACTGCAGAGACATTTTCTAATATAGAACTTTATTTTGGAAAAAAAAAAGACAGACTTTCACCGAATGTAGTAAATATGCATTTAATACTTCACTGTATTTTAGTGTAAATCGAGCCTAGGGCTTTTGAATACAATGGCCCACACAGCATCCTCAAGCAAATCACTTCATTCTATTCAGAGGTTTAGATTTATGATCCACCATATATTTCGGCTCGTCTGTATGATTTAGTGAGGAGGCTGCACTAGATTAAAATGTCTATTTCTATATTTATTTGAGTACATTTTCTTACTTTTGCCAATAAATCAAGTTATTTTCCTTTATGTTGAAATGGTTGGTGGTTGATGTCAAGGGAATTTATGGTTCATGCATAACGGGGAGAATGTGACCCATACTATTGTCAAAGCATTGATGTAATTTGCTGTCTTCACCAATATTAGTGCCATATTTGCCTAATGAAACCTAGGGGGTAATTCTGGCTTAATGAGTATGACAGCTTATATTTGCTTATTCCTCAACATTTAAGAAAATATTCTTGATATGGTTTGATTCAAAATATAGATACCAGTTAAGTTTGAATCTTGCACTTTTACAATCTGTCTCTTTATCCAGGCATAGACAGTTATTTTCCAGTGAACACTACTCCTTGCTTTGTTACATACCTGCTTAATATAAGGATCAAAATATAATTAATCATACAACCTGAGACACTTTTGTGGGTGAAAGGGGATGTTGTTTATAATTACACCAGGACATCAGGACAAATGTAGGCATATGGTCCCTCTCGTCAAAGGCAAATTCAGATCGACTCAGAGAAGAATGTGGAAACATGGATGATAAGATGTGCTTTTAATGAACTGCTTTATATTCATGCTTTTTTGGTAGGTGTTTCTGGAGCAGATGGCTCACGGTCCAGACCCCACCAACAGTTCTTGTATGGAGGAACAAAAGAATCATAGCTGTGCAAGTGGCGATATGGCACAGCGGTAAGGGAATGTTCATGAATAGTAACAGCCCCAGTAAGAAAATAACTCTTAAATATATACTTTTAAATCAGCTTATGGTTATTAACAATACCAAATACATCATTGTACTTGAAAACATTATTTTAATGATGTACACACAATGTAATATATAGATGGTGTATTATAGAACTGTACACTTGAAACCTACAAAATTTTATTAACAGATGCCACCCCAATAAACTTAATAAAAGAAAATATTTGAAAACAAAATTAAATGTTACCTACAACTCCCAAGACTGAATTTATTTCAAGAGAATGAGTGAAGATAATAATTACACACACAGATTTGAAAGTTAAATCATTATTTAAAAACTGACAGTCAAATGAGTATATTCAAATGACTCCCGCCCCACTAGTCTATCAAACCTCACATGTGAAACGAGTTATAACTCCTTACAGTGGGTCATCTGGGGGAAAAGTACGTGATAGAGTCATGTGTTATAAAAGAAATAGGAGATACAGAGCTTGTCTTTCTTCATTCAAAATTATACATGATTTATGGTATTTTGAAGTTTGGTTGTATAATCTGGGTTGAAACATGAATAAACTATTATTTTTGAGAGGTCCTTATTTTAATGAATATTTTATTCTTGGATAGTACTTCTTCACTTATTTTATCTTTCAGCTTAGCCAGGGTTTTAAATCCACTTGATTTCTTTTTATTTAAGAAAGTTAAAATTAATTTATTAAGTGCCATTAATTTATTTTATTTAAAAAGGAATTTTAATTTGGGTGAACATTTTTCTAGTTATTATTGATTGAATTATTGGTTGATTGAGTCAATCATTCCAGTGGCTGGAATTCTAAGGAGCTTTGAGTTTTCATAACTTTAACTGCCAAAAAATTTGCATTTGAATACATTATGTACTGACTCCCAACATAATAATTCCTCTAAGATCACTTATAAAAACAACAACAAAAAAACACCCAACTTTTTATCTATTTTATGTTTTGCCCTTGGAAACTTATTTTAAGAAATAAGTTTATGGCACCATGTGATAAACGTTAGATATTTGTTCACTGACATGAAATGATTAACATCACAGTTTTCAAATGGAATCTCAGGTACTTTTCAATAAACTTTCAGCTAAAATTTTGATAAGCATTATTATCCAGGGATCTGTATCATAGTTTACAAGATCACTTTGGATTTCGCTTAAAACATCCTGATATTCCACATATCAGTGAAGTCATATGGTTCGCTACTTTTTCTGTGGTATGTAAAACTGAAAACAAGGAAAGAACAAGAATAACAAATGAAGAAACAAAACTCATAGACACAGGCAACAGTTTAGTGGTTACCGGAAGGTAAGTGGGGAAGTAAGGTGGTAGATCAGGGTAAAGGGGTCAAATATATGGTGATGGAAAGAGAACTGACTCTGGGTGGTGAACACACAATGTGATATACAGGTGATGTAATACATAACTGTACACCTGAAATCTATGTAACTTTGCTAACAATTGTCACCCCAATAAACTTTAATAAAAAACAAACAAACAAAAACATCCTGATACTACCCACCTTTCTTCAGTTTCACTCAGTATCCCCATCCAAACTACAGTCTGAGCAATACATGCACTGCCTTCCTGCTTTGCCTACATGCTCTCTTCCCAGCATGAAATCTGTTCTCTACTTCATTCGCAGTTATCTTTTTCAAAATGCAAATTTTATGACAGAGCTCTGTTACTTTAAACCTCTCTTTACACTGGTAGAACAAAGCCCGCCGCCTTCACCATGCCCAGAGAAGCCCTTGACTGCCTCACCCCTGCCTACATTTCCATTCTACTTTTCAGCCTTACTGTACCTTGCCCCCCACTCCCTCTGTACAGGTAAATTGCCTTCTAGCCCAGAAACAAAGCAAGAAACATTCCTTACAAGAATACCTGTCTCACCAATATCTACAGTGTTGTCTTATTTGTTTTAATGTATGTACAGTACCAAAGAGCAAAAGATAAGGCTGCCAATAGGTAGAAGGGAAAGCACATGCTGGAAAAATAAACATATAACCACTTTGAAGAATTCTCTTTCTCCTCTTATCTCCCCTCCCCTCCCCTCCTCTCCCCTACTCTCTCCATCTCTCCCTCTCTCTCTACCCTAATGCACTACTGGCCATTGTAGTACTTTCAGAACTGCCATCATACAGCATTAGGATTTAGAATGACTTACCTAGGAGGATGACAACACACAGGAGGATAGCGATTAAGGCTCCTGTACTCAAACCAGCCGAGGACAGGAAGGCTTCCGCATGGCAGGTCCGCACGCGCCCATCTCTGTCGCATGCACAAACCCTGATGGTGAGGGTGCTGCTGCTGGTGAGAGAGGGGATTCCACCATCAGAGATCATAATGGGGAGATAATACACATCCTGAACAGTTCGACTAAATCTCCTCCGCCTTGTCAGAATGCTGGCTGTGTTATCTATGACAGACATAAGCAAAACAAAACGTACTTAGTAAAGCCGCCATCAAAGATTCACATTTCCTTTAGTGGATAAAATGGGTATGTGTGATTTGTTTGTTTGTTTGTTTGCTTATGAAATGGCCAAGGGGGTGATGAAGGGGATATTATTCAACGGTAACTAATATTGGTTCTCAAATTGAGAAACCTATTTGAAAAAATAATAGAGTTCAAACTAAAGGGGAGGGGAAATGGTAGAAGACAAGGAGGGAGAAAACAGTAAACATTTTGGGCATGGACATACTAGCCGAATGATTTACAAGGATACAGATAACTTAAAGTCAATAGATCCTAAAGTTTTGGATGATCCGGTAGTCCCTATCCCAAACCTGATGACCCTGAATAAAAGCAATAGGAACCAACATCTACATTTTTTAGCAAATTATTCAGGTGATTTGTTAATGTACAAAAAAGTTTAAGAGCCACTGGTATAGATAATATAATTATGGAGGCACCAGGTCAATTGATAAACTTTTTTAGATTTAGTTGTGGTTTGAAACACTGTTGTTATAGTGGGTACGTCATGGGACAGTTAATGATGAATACCATATTTAATTATATTTTATATGCTTTTTAAATGCTATGTACTATATAGCAAATGCTTGCATGATAATTTTTATTAGTTCACCCAACCTTATAAAGAAGAGGATATTAAATTTCTTACATTTTAGGGGAAATTATTTTTACTATAAATAATAATTAGAAAATAAATAACCTGAGTCCCAGAGAATACATTGGCTAAAATCACAGAGCTAATGAATGATCAGAATATAATCGTGATATATTCTAGAACTCTTCTCAAAAGTACAATGTCAAACTGCCTGTTCTCCACCAATTCACCTCCAATTGAAACTGATGGCCTCAGGTGCAGGTAGTACATGATTCTCTTAGCATTGCTATTTCTCATTCTATGTCTGTTAGTTTAAAGATCCTCCTGGTACCCACTTGGCTGTGCTGCTCAGATCCCTGCTTGGAAAGACTCCTGGTCCTAGCTGTAGATTGCTGGCTGGCTCAAGGTCATACCCTTCAGGAGCAGTGCATAATCAATGACTCATTACTGCAAAGTTATACACAGGTCAAGCCATTTTCTCAGAATGCAGACAATACTAAAGGGCACATTTAATTCCCAAGCTTTCCCAAAGGTTCAATGGGGAGTCATTACAATATCATGGCAACTCCGTTTCTCATGCTGCCCAAACCTTCTTCCTGCCTTTGGGGTCCACAGATGTTGATTCCACAGGCACACTGCAGTAGTCATCCTACCCTCTGAACTCCAAGTCAGAGCCAACTTCCCAGAGAACCCAACCAGTAACTACACCTATGAGTTAATTACTTCTCACTGAAAAGTAAGTGAATCATTAGAAAGTTATATTTAGGGGTTCTTTCTCTCATATAAATTTATTTTGAAAATTGAAATTCTGTTACATATGAGTATGTTTATGATCGTCACGGTACAATACCCTATAGATATATTTTCTTGATTGCACATTGCCAAATTAATGAAATAGAAAGACAATCAAATTTTAAAATGTTACATGCAATACAATAATAAAACACAAGAGCTCTATACATTCTGTATGTATTTATAAATTTTATATATATTATCTATCTATCTATCTATCTATCTATATATCTGTATATATGTAAATTGCATATCTATGAATTATGTATCTATTTCTATGTATATATTCTGTATATATAAATTTTATATATGTATTGTATATCTTTTTATATCTCTGTATATATATATACATACATATTAGATATGTACAGATTTTGTTGACATATACATATGTCAAAGTAGTGCATAAATGAGTAATCTGGTAGGTAATTAAAAATAATTTTCTTACCTGAGAGAAAAGGAATAAAAAATGTATAAATTGTCTATTGTGAAGTAGGTTTCAAAGTAGAGAAAGGAATAAAGGAGAAACTGCATCCTATGTGTTGTATAACAGTTATAGGTACTCTCACAGAAAACCTGAGCTCTGAGGAAGCACATCCATTCGTTGTAAGATGTTCCATTGTGTTTAATATAAACTTACCTATATGCATAGTTCCATAGGCTAGGGAAGACCTACGTACTAAGAATTCACAGGCACCAACATGTTTGAGACTCTCACTGTTGGCCCTCTGAAGAAGAGATGTGAGGCACTGGTCACTAATCTCAGTAAACGTGGATAATGTCTTGTGGGATGACATGATAGCATGCAGTGGTAGCTGGGGTCTTCCTTTTATGGCTCTGGTCTAGTGTACACTTTACATTCTTAATTTGGAAGCATGTCCTCTTTCAGAATAATTATTGGAAATGCAATCAGAAACAAGAAGAAAGCAAAAGTCTATTTGTAGTGCACTTTAAGTTCTTAAGTAGAAAACTCTCAGACATGGAGGCATACAAATGTACTTTCTTTTCTCCAGTTGAAGGTTTGACTTTTGAAAAGAAAAGAGGATTTAGGAAGCAAAGAACTGCCCACCTAGAAAGGCTTAGCACAGCAGAATAATGAGCTCTTGACAAGGGATACTGCGTACCGCACCACAACTACAAAAAATGTACTTGGCAGAAAGCTCACTGAACTTGAAAAAGAAAAGTTAGAACTAAAACGAAAGTGATAAAAAGATATATACACGTACATACAAATATACACATATATGTATATGCATAAAACACAACTTGTCTAGCCGAAGCTGCAAATTAGACAAAAGAGCCACAACAACTCACTAACTTTAAACATGTTTTAAAAAATCAGCCAAGTATTATAGAAAGTCTTGTATGACTACCAAATGAATTTAAAAAATTAATATGAGCTAAATAAAGCAAAACTATAGCAGACTGGAATATCTGCAGATAAGTGCTAATTATCAAAGTAAAATTAAGGGCAATCTCTAATAATGTGCACATAAGCTTGGTTCTTAATTCTAACTCTCAGGAGTTTGGATGAGGACAGAAGCTTACAGAACACTTGGAATCCAAATCAATAGAGCTAATATATTGGATTAGAATTCATGGAAATTTTGAACAACCAGTGCAAGTCCTTAAACTAACAAGAGGACACAAAGATGCATGTTAGATTGTAAACTTTGAAAAGTATCATATGAGAGAGATGGCATTACGTTAAAATAGTCTCAGAAGCATCCTCAGCTCAGGCCAGGACTCGAACCTCTGTTGCTCAGAGTTTGCACTCTCAAGTGAGCTCTTAACCAACTGAGCCACTCAGCTGGCCCCTATGAATCTCCTTATTGGGAAGGCTTCATTGGGATAGCGTGCATACTTTTGGGTTTCCTGCCTTAAAAGTGATGCTTTAACCCAATGGACTATACTTGCAAATGACTTGGCTGGGGTGGTAAAAGAGTTAGAAAAAATTATCATATGAAGGATCTTTGAAATAACAGATTGTGATAATTCTACATGTCACTTATAGATTTAGGTGACCAAAGGGTCTCAGAAATTGTCCAGAAAAATTTGGCAAACTGTCTTAGTAATTAATATCTTTTTGGATATAATCAATATAGTCTTGATAGTCCAAGCAACTATACCTTTGGTGAAATGTAGAAATAGCCTTAAACGTGTTTAATCTTTCAAAGTAGATGACAATGCATTATTTATTTTGTTATGTATCCCATTTCTTGTTCAGAAAAGGATATGAGCATATATTGGAGAAATTAGGGACACTGCCATGAGATATATAATATTTTAGTCATGTAGATACATTGTGAAGACTGTAAAGAATTGAAATTTGGAGTTCTTTGAAAAGCAATAGCAATAACATTTATTTTTGTAGCTGTAAGAATTATAGAAAATTTTTAATTGACTGATAATTTTGTGAGGATCTTTCACAAAGTATTTACACTAAAATATATTGTTGGTTAGATAGGTCCACTTCCAACATCTATACTTCTACAGGAACAGAAAGCTAAAGACTATGATCGTCTAATCCAATTTGTATACTGGCTCTGGAATTCAGACGTAATTTTCTTGAATTAGCAGTATGCGTATATTACTTTGTTCAGTATTTTGACAGGTCTTGAAAGACTCTAATCTCTGTGCTACTTTAGTAAACTGTAATACAATTTAAGTTAAAATGAGGCATGCTTTAAAACACTCCCTGAAACAAAAACAAATCCTATATTAAAGTCCAATATTATTTTATGTCTTGGAAAGTATTAAAACTATGTGTTCTTCTAAACTCTTAATTAGACACCCATTCATGCCCTGCCATTTCAACAGATTTATTGTTTGATAATGGTTTATCTCAACCATAGCCTAGCAGACTATTAAAATAGTATTTCCAAATCTACTAGAACAGCAGAAACATGAGATCCTCAAATGTGGATCTCTTATTGGTCTTCGTTTTTGATGTGTCTGATGAGAAAACAAGAAATAGAACCTTGACTTCCACCAGACAGATACATATGCACGGCTTCATATTATTTTCTTTATTTTTTTCTGGTCTTCCAGCAGCAGTAAGATCCATTCATAATTGATTGTCAAAGCCCATGCATGAAACAGTGCTCTTTTGCTTTCCTGAAAAGCTCCTTTCACATAATAGGTAGTTGACAAATAATGATTTGAACTGCACTCAGTAGGAATTTGTCTTCTGTTATATTGTCCATATTATGTTGAGATGTACAAGCTCTGACAATTAAGTTTGCAAATGCAATGATGTTGCTAAACTTTTTTGGTATCAGAGGGATTTTTCATTATGATTTTGTAACAACTGGACAAACAGTTAACCAAGTTTACTATTTGGAAGTGCTGAAAAAGCTGCATGAAAAAGTTAGATGTCCTGAAATTTTTGCCAACAATTCATAACTCTTGCATCACGACAATGCATCAGCTCTCAAGACATTGTCTGTGAGGGAGCTTTTAGCCAGTAAACAAATTACTGTATTGGAACACCCTCCCTACTCACCTGACCTGGCCCCCAGTAAATTCTTTCTTTATCCAAAGATAAAGGAAATATTGA